TTGTTGTTGTTGTATGCAGTTTCCAGCAAACTTTAATTAATTTTTTTCTATTTGTGAAAATTTCTACGTTATTTAAAGGTAATTTTTATTATAGGCCTATAGACCTTACACAGCAGTATTAATATGATTTTGGAGGTTACAGAACTTTAAAATTACTTTAAAAAATGGAAAATAATTATATCATTTGATTTCAAGATATTTCGTATACCTTAAAAATAATTAATTCTATCCCAGGATCCCGGGACAAGCAAAAGACCGGGAAATGAGAAACCCTATATGTGACTCATTTCCCACGAAGAATGTATAAAAGTCGTCTATCGTTGTATTTGCCGACATACCAACGCCATTCCCATTTGATTTGCCCTCCTAAGCCATCCGACAATCAGAGATCGGGTTTTACCAACCTGTTGCAGCATAAGTGGTCAGAAGGGATTAAAAGGATTTACAAAGATTATGCTAATAAAATTTACAAGAATATCAAAATTATCAATCTTTTCCATTAATATGAATGATTTTAAATATGCTTCCTGAGATATTGAGTCAGTTTACAATTTGCAATAAATTTACATTAGTTCCTAAACAGAATTTCCTGAGAATTCACATTTTACAAGTAGGTACACACATTAAATGTTTTGTTAATAAGTGATAAAATTTCTTTTGTACAATGATCAATCACCCTTCTTTACAACTAATATGTAAATAATGCTGTTGGGAACTGAACTCGGTGGCAACATAGTTTTTTTTTTATTTAGAAAAACTGATTTACTCCACTCGCTTTTGACAATTCTTATATGGATATTGAATATTACGGTGTGTGAATTTATGTCGGAGTGATGACAAATATCTGTATAATATAAATATGGGTACGCATTACTTAATGATGGGAATACATTCTAAAAAATACATCACCGAGAGACTTTTATTTTTAACTCCGTCTGCTCTATGGGAACCCATTACGGATTTGGCCGGGTCGGGTGACAAGAAACGGGAGACGTCGCACAGAATACTTAGAAACCTATAGGGCACAGTCTACCGCTCGTATAGGCTGTACGTAATGCAATGTATTTAGGTATCTGAACATAAAAATGGTACGAGTGACCAACTTTTTCGGTTCTTTATACATTTATTAGATCCCTGTTGTACACCTAGTCCATCATTTAAGAAGTGCATACTTGTAATTAGCACTAAAATTTATTAACAATTTATTTTACATATATTATCAAATTTAATAAAGGTTAAAAATAAACAACAAACTATAAAGAAATTGGCTTTATTTCAGAGAATTTAGTAATTACAAAATTTAGTTAGTTATGATACATATTATACAAAAAAATTAAATGGTTTGCTATATTAATTATATTAAATATTCACATAAATTTAAAAACGTCAACAGTAAAAGGCAGTGAAAGACACTAATGAATTATATACAATTATGTATGAGAACAATTTATCTGATATGCATGAATAAAATGAAGCAAATTCTATTTACAGGATGCTATATATGAAGTGTTTGGAAGATCGATACATGTTGGACAATCTGTTTAAATCAAATTTCACTTCTTGATGGACTAACTGATATACAAAGTATGTTCCAAGAAATGCTTATTTATATACAGGGAGTTTGATAAGTTACTGTGCTGTGAGAAATTTGTAATGAAATGAAAGTTGTATGGAATAGCATTGCCAACCAGTATGTTGTATGAGATAACATACAGTCAACTGGCATCAAATGGACAATATACAATTCTTGTATGCAATAAAACCTTTAATAAAAACACTTAACACCTTATATGCCGAGATATATTTATTGAAACACAAATGTTTTCAGCCTAATTTCTTTATGCAATACTGTATGCATAACTTTGATGCCATTATAAATTTCTTGCTGCATGGTAACTTTTCTGACACACACATTTCTCTTGTGGCAAGTTTTAAAATGAGACATCCTCCATGTGAATGAAAAAAAATGCCTAAAATAACTGGATTAAAACTTAAATATTTGTATCATGAATAAATTTCATATATAGGAATATAACCGGCTACACACATTTTCCTACATATATCACACGTGCAAAAGTAGCTCTGACTTTACTGCTAAGTGATCAAACAACAGTGGAACTTGTGAGATAAGGCATAAAGATTTTAGTAATGCTACAAGTCTGCCTCATGTCACTAAACTTCTTGCAAGTTCTACACTTGTTTGATTGACCAACACATCTAAATTTACAAATTTGATATACATTACTCTTTCATATTAACAAAATAACAATTATATTATATTACTTTTACTGAAACTAAGAAACATCATAACTTTCTTTAAAAAGACTTAAAACAATAATTTATTTCTACATTTTACTAAAAAATAAAGTTTTATTGTATTCTTTACATAAAAGATATTGAACAGATAATAAAATACACAGATTTAACAAACAGAATGTCTTATTGAGATACAACAACATCAATACAACTATCGTTTTCCATTTCTAGATCGAATGCAGTATCTGTACTCTTCAGCAGTTCTCCATCAAACATAAATTTCAGTTTCTCCAGTGAAATGTCTCTCTGTTTTGCATATTCTTCCATTAAACGAGACATTGGACTTAACTAGAAATAAAAATAACCGAAAATGAGAAACTTTGCATCATCTATCAAATATTCTGACCATTACATTTGCTTAACTTTTTCAATAAACTCCAAAATTGTATTTTGTAATGCAGACTCTCAATTATTGGAAATGAATGGATAAAATGCCATCCTGGTTAACCCAGTACCATTTAAATCTTATCTTCAGTCACCAAAAGAAGTAAATTAAAAAAGAAATGTGACAAAAACAAATGCATAAATCTACTTTGTGCAGTTATTCGTAATAAACTAAGTATTTCAGAAGTGCGTAATTCCCTTTTCCTGCTCCTTGCCAAACTAGACAATTCAAATTAATTTGGGAGCGATATAATGATGCATCCATAGGCATTTTGGTATACTGATTAGCATTATTCTTGATAAATAATAGTTTACTACTGATTATAAATTACTTCAGATCAATTTTTTTCAAAGTAACTGTAAGGATTATTAATTAAAGATGGGTTTAATCAAGGAGTAGTAGAATGACACTGCAACAACAGAGTTCCAGTACATTCACGGTTTGATGCTTTATTACTCTCGAACTATATATGCATACTTCTAGTGTAGCTACAAATTCCAAGGTTGAATGATTATCAACTTTAATGTTTGATGCCAATGCCACATTGAGTTAGACAATGGCAAAGTCCAACTATAAACTGGATGCCGTTCTTGTCGACTCCAGTGACTTTGAAATTCCATATTGCCTCTGGACTTTAGAGTTAACAGTATAAAATTTGCTAGAAAACTAATCAAAACTACAGGTTTATCCAGTGTATACTGTGATTAAATACTATTCTTTCAAAAAATTAACAAATATAAATAACACAATATATTTAATAAAAGCTTTTAAATACCAAAAATAAACTACAGATGACAATCTTTTTTTATTTTTATAGAAAGAATGGATACTGAATTTACTTGAATTATATTTTATTTTTAATGTTTGTACAATTGAGTATTTGAGTATTTTACAGTATTAAGGATGACAAATCATAACTTAAATATACTCACTGCCATAAAAATGAGTATACCAAGGAGGAGTTGTCGTATTGCTGAAAAACTTGGCAGGCAGATAAGTCACAAGCAAATATGAAAATGATTAGTTATAATGTCATGCCAGCAGAGGGCATTAAAGTGCATCCTCCTAGCCTATAAAAAAAAGCACAAAGGCATCCTGTCTGTAGTTTACCTGTTGCATAGGGACACTATCACTAGAGATGCCTTTACAACACAATCAAAGACCTTTAGAACAACTAACAAAGTTTGAAAGGGGAAGGATCATCAGGATGAGAGAAGCCGGATGGTCATCTTACCAAATAGCCCCCGCCTAAGCTGTTCTGACAACACTGAAGAAATATCAGAACCAGTATTCAAGAAAGAGCTTGCACACATGGTGGCCAGGTCTGGGATGCCCTGGACAAACCACTAGCTGAGGACTGCCCGATCCTTCAACAAGCACATACGCGTGCGTGCGCGCGCACACAGCTGACCATATCATTGTTTGCCATCCAAGAACATAACAGGAACATTCAAGGTATTTGGGATGGACTAAACATGAAAAACTTATGGGATACTTTTTGACTATCCAGAATTAATCCCAGGTTTCCAAGGGCAATGGCTGATGTCTTAACCACCTTAGCCATCTGGTCATCAAAGTGAAATAATTACTGAATAAGTTGTTATATTGAGGAAAATTAAGTAATTTGACAAATTNATCACTTATAAACTACAATTATTCCGAACATAATTAAAAATTATTTCTAAAAACGTTTAACTTAATATAATTTCTTTCTGAATCTGATTTCTGCTCATTTAAATGCTAAACAGTGCTATGACACTGCAACTTTGGCCTCAAGATGACATCCACGCGTTGGAGTGGCAATACTCTGTTTATATAGGGATCTAAATTAAGTCGTATACCGAGCAAAATTTATTTCGTCCAAACAGGACATATTCTAAAGCAGACGTATACCGAGGTACCACTGTACAGTGACAAGACGTAATAATAAAAAAAGATAAACCAACCAGGGAATAAAAAGAAACCTATCATCTGCTCTTGAATCTTATCTCTCTCAAAATTATGAAACTAATGTGGTCTGCCATTTTCAAATCCAGAAACATGAGAAATCTTTTTTTATCTGACAAGAAGTAACCTTTGTACTTTAAAGCTTCTGGACACCTAACAAGCAATTATTTACTGTAATATCACAATACTGGGTGCAATTTATCATAATATTTTTAATTTATTTAATTTAAAATATATGCTCTCCACCTTTAAATTAGTAGTGGCTTTCCCCTGTACATCATACTTTTCCTATAACAATAGAGTCGTCCTGGTCATCAATCTAACACCTTTTGAGAAAAATTTTTGAATTGAAATAACATGACTTCCAGTTTGCATCGGAAGTTCATATAAGTTAATCGGGGCCTCCTGCCCCTACGATTACCATATCTGGTATCATCTTTCATCTATCTAATTCCATTCTCAAGATTAAGGAAAGAGATGGATGGACAGACAACAGTGGGAATTTATAGGTTTAAAATTTTTTCAAATTGCAGCTCAATAAATTTAACTGGCATTTGTGTAATAATTTCTTACACCAGTTTTCCTTAAATTGCTTAATGGATGATTATGAAGATGTATTAAACTTGTCAACAATTTGGTCTTTTAAAATAAATAATTACTGGTATATTTAAAATTCTCTAATTAGTACATCTAGTCTTAAATTCATATTCCTTTTCAACGAAAACTACTTACTTCCTACTCTGTTATTAGAATAGGTGACTGCAAATATTGTGGCAAAAACATTTGAAAAAATTTTAACTTGCCATAAAACATTTATTTCAAAATGTAGTAGTGTTAGTAATGAAGTTTGCTAATTCATTATCTGACAACATTTGAAATGAATTAACAATGGATACTCTATTGCTTCTTTAAAACACCCAAGAAATCAGTATTCTAAATAAAAATTTTTTGAAATGATCTACACTTTATATTACAGGTAATTACTGTATTTTATGTTAGTTTCTGAACTACTTTATCAAATGTTTGAGATTTTAATTCTCAGTTAACATTATTATATGTCATGATTAAACTTGCAAAATCTTCCTCCAAATTAATCAATTATAAAAATTTTGTAAAAAATTATGTGAATACAGTATGGTCTTATTTCATGTGGAGACTGGTGTCTGAAAAATATCATGTAAAATGAAATTCCACATAAACTTGCATTCCACTCCTAGTAGTCCTAGATGATTGATTAGACACTAACATTTTGTTAATTTAATTATTATTAATTTTTTCGTCCAATGGTTCTTTTAATTTAATATTTTGGGACAAAGTTTGCCCAAACAGGGACCACTATTTATTAGTTCTGTGTTTCAGACAATATAATCCTGGCGACTGACCTTCCTTTTTAGGCTACTAGCTGCCAAAACGCTAAAAAGTCCTTTTAAAAAACACAAAAATTTCCAATAATATAAAATTTTTATAAAATAGAAAAGCTTCCCCCTAGTAACGATATTTTACAATTATGATTAATTTTTCGTCCGATGGTTCTTTTAATTTAATATTTTGGGACAAAGTTTGCCCAAACAGGGACCACTATTTATTAGTTCTGTGTTTCAGACAATATAATCCTGGCGACTGACCTTCCTTTTTAGGCTACTAGCTGCCAAAACGCTAAAAAGTCCTTTTAAAAAACACAAAAATTTCCAATTAAAAAATATAAAATTTTTATAAAATAGAAAAGCTTCCCCCTAGTAACGATATTTTACAATTATGATTAATTTTTCGTCCGATGGTTCTTTTAATTTAATTAATATTTGAAATTTTTGGTCGCCACGATTGTATTGTCTGAAACACAGAGCTAANCAAAACGCTAAAAAGTCCTTTTAAAAAACACAAAAATTTCCAATTAAAAAATATAAAATTTTTATAAAATAGAAAAGCTTCCCCCTAGTAACGATATTTTACAATTATGATTAATTTTTCGTCCGATGGTTCTTTTAATTTAATTAATATTTGAAATTTTTGGTCGCCACGATTGTATTGTCTGAAACACAGAGCTAATAAAGTGGTCCCTGTTTGGGCAAACTTTGTCTCAAAATATTAATTAAATTAAAAGGGAAGATAGATAGAAAAATAGTCTGAAAGGGCCAGATCTTTTCTAAATCTGCATTTTCCAGTGCTTCATCATAGTGGATAAAAAGCCGAAAAACCCCAAGGTTATATGATTATCAAGAAGACGTTCGTATATCACTAGTTCCTATTTTAGAAAAATTTGTATTTTTTAATTGGAAATTTTTGTGTTTTTTAAAAGGACTTTTTAGCGTTTTGGCGGCTAGTAGCCTAAAAAGGAAGGTCGTTGCCAGGATTGTATTGTCTGAAACACAGAGCTAATAAATGGTGGTCCCTGTTTGGGTGAACTTTGTCTCAAAATCTTAATTTTGTTAATTGTAAATGGATGCGTGTGTTCATAACAACAACATAAAAACATTAGAATAAAATATTTTACTTATGCTGTATCAAATATACCATTGAGAAAAATACATGGAAACCATGGTATGTTCACAGCAAGTGGCATTTGGTAGCTGTGTGTGCAAAATGTTAGAAGCTAGAGCAGTGTGGTTTTATGACTTAAGGTCAGATTTGGTGGCATTAGTACTTCATTAACCAATTGCCATCCTTGAAAACACACACTACTGTATTTTAAAAATTGTTAAGTAATTTTCAAATAAGGAGTATAACTTCACAGGATATTAGAAAAATACAAAGTATAACACATCAGGATATTAGAAAAAAGATGACCAGAAATCACATTCATTTGTCTTTGCTGTATCATTCCTCCTCCTAAAATTCAAAAGTGAATTTATCAATAATGAATTAAACAATTACTTAAGATCTCACTATGCATTCCAATTTATTTTGTCAAGTTGTTTCTTTTATTATTGATTAGTTGTTGTAAATAGTAATTTGTAAA